ATTTGGGTTACTGATTCAGCAGAAGCAAGAAGAACCCATAACTCTGTAGTAATCAGAATGTTACCCAACTGTATATTGTTTACTTTATTGTAAATACTGGTGAACAGTGGTCAATAAATAGTTTTATATTCCTTTATTTGATTGGACTTTTTATCCCGTTGCTATTTTAGTAGGAATGGAATCATTCACACATTAAATTATCATCACATGTTTATATCTCCTATGAATGTACTGTGCTTTCAGATTCATGACAGTCATTAACATACCTGTTCATAGATAATTAGGGAGAGGGGCTTGTACAGATTGTTTGGATTTTTTGTGGGGGGGAAGGATTTTATCTTTGTCTAAAAAAATTTTTTTAAGATTTTTTTTTTAATTCTATTATTATTTTTTAATTTTACTGGAGAGAGAGAGAGAAAGGGAAAGTGAGAAAGCAAGCCACCAAGTCCAGGACTCGAACCCTCTGGTTGGCCATGTGGGAGTCCAGCGCCCTTAACCACCATGCCACCTGCCGGTCCCATACAGTGGTCACCTGGACAAGTACAAAAATAGGAAACCATGTTTGGGGATTTTTATTTCCCCATTTCAGCTTATCCTTTTGCCATGAAATTAAGCATGAGAATATCCATGAGCACACATGTATTGACAGTTACTAGGAAAAATAGCTACTATCTACCAGGCACTGTGCTTAGTGGTTACGTTATCTCATTTTATCCTCAGCTATCCTCCAAGATAGCTATGATTGATCTAATTTTATAGGTGAAGAAATGAAGGTTAATAAGATGAAGGTCATTTGTATGGGCCAGGGCTTCAGCTATGGGGAATAGAGAGAGTACTACTGATTTGAAGATAAGGTTTTCTCCATAGTAATTACTCACTGTATTTAGAGAATAAAGTCATTTGGGGTATAAAACGAGAATGTGGAGGTAAAGAGGAATCCAGAATGACTCCCAAGATTTAATTTTAAATGTATAAAAGTGTAATTTAGGGAACCAGTAGTTAGCGTAATGGCTATGTTGCTGGACTCAAACGTTCGCGTCCCAGACCCAGTTGCTTAAAACTTGCACCAGGCACGTGTGCATGCCCAAGATCCCAAGAGGAGAATGGAGGAGAAGGGATTGCGGCATGGCCATCCCCCCCTGGGGGGTGATTTCTTGCTTTCTGTCTGGCAAGCGCACGTGCCCTATAGCAAAAACCTCCCAAAAAATGTAATTTAGTGAAAAGGGGAAGCTAGGAGAAAAGTTAGAAAGAGATATTACTAAAGTGGCTTTGGCAATACTTGGACTGAAGGATTCATCTGTTAACTTAGTGTAAGTACTTAGTACACCTATGATACACACTGCATAATTCTGAAAATGGCAGATACTCAATTTTTTTTTTTTTTTTGAGAGGTTTTTTCTACAGGGTGTGTGAACTGCCAGACAAAGCAAGAAACCACTATCCCTTCTCCATTTTCCTCTCAGGATCTTGGGCACGCATGGACACATGCCTGGGGAGAGTTTAAGCCACAGGGTTTGGGACTTGAACCATGGTCAACTACGTGGGAATCCAGCAACATAGCCATTACACTAACTGCTGGTCCCTCTCACTCAGCTTTTACAAAGGGAATTGCTGGCCTAGGGAAAATAACAGGGTGGTTTGGAGCACTGGCTCTGGAATTTGACCCCCTAGACACACATTCCAGCTCAGAGGTTGTATGAATTTAGGCAAGTTAACCCTATTTCTCAATATTCTCATCTGTAAAACAGGATGATAATGATGGTGATTAGTTCATGGGGATTTTCAGGATTAAATGAGAGACACCTTAAGTTTAATATCTAGTCCATAATAAGGATCAGGTTATTTCCAGTTTGATTCAAGGCTCAGTTAACAGTCTGAACTCCAGCCTCAAGTGACTGGGACAATCCTAATCTCTGATTTCTGCTGCTTTCTTTGCTACCTCTCTGGATCGACCTCCACAAACCCAAAATGGCTGAAACTATACCCGTGGAAAATGTAGTTCCCTTAACCATGAGGCTAAGAGTTGGTTCTGTGACCCAGCACATGAACTCAAATAATGGGATTTTTCACTTGTGAAGTCATGTTGTCAAAAGATTTTTGCGTTTTTGAATTAGGATGCTCAGCCTGTTTATAACTAAAGCACAGAATTTCAGTCAATTTGAAAGCATTTTTTTTTTTTGAGAGATTTTCATTGTAGGGCGCATGCGCTCGCCAGACAGACAGAGAGAGACATATAGACAGAAAGCGAGAAATCACCCCCCAGGGGGGATGGTCACGCCGCAATCCCTTCTCCTCCATTATCCTCTCGGGATCTTGGGCACGCACGCACACGCGCCCGGCGTGAGTTTTAAGCCACCGGGTCCGGGACACGAACCGCAGTCGACTATGTGGGAGTCCAGTGACATAGCCATTACGCTAACTGCTGGTTCCCAATTTGAAAGAATTTTCTTAAATACCTTTTGGTTTTGCTTTTTAGAAAACTAATAGGAATATTTTGAACATATGGAAGATTCTACAATTTCCTACTAATCCTTAATTTCTTTTCAAATGATTTTTAAAAGCTCCCCTTTTCCTTATACTTAAGTATCAGGAGAAGAGTTAACCTGGGAGAGCAGGACAAGAATGTTGATATTTGAAGGCTGCGCTTATAGCTCCTTAAATGCAGAGAATTTTCACTTTTTTCTGGGGCCTACCCTATAGTCTCACAATTAAGGAAACCAGCCTACATGGCATACTGGAGTTTAAGGTTTGGCCATAATGGCTGGAAAAACATGCCAGGCATGTGTGAGTACATGCCCAAAGTCAAAGCTGGAGAAGAGAGTGGTGTGACTGCCCTGTTGGGCGGCAGATTGCTTTTTCTCTTACGCATGGGCACACACACACCTTCTAGCAATTAAGTAAAAATAATACAAAGGCCTAGGCTCAACACTTTATCCTTATTCAGAAATTCTGAGGGCCAATCTGTGGTGTGTTGTGGTTAAGATGTCTGGATCCCACGTGGCCTACTGCATTAGTCCTGGACTCTGGCTTGAAAAACATGCCAGGCCCACTTGCATGCGTGCCCCAAATCCAGAAAGGATCAAATGGAGGAGAAGGGATTTTGGCATGACTATTCCCCAAGGGAGTGCTTTTTCACTTTGCTCCTCTCTGTCTCAGGTGAGTGTGTGCCCCCTATAGCAAAAAAATGTTTTTAAGTTCTGCATTTAGCTTTGTAATAATTGTTTAAAAACAACTGAGACTAACATTAAAGCATTCTCTTGTAACCACCGTTTTTCTTACCACATTTCCATTTCTACTGTAATGATGAAGTTAAGCAGTATGTGCCAACTCCTTACCTATTTTCTCCTGATGCATTTTTTGATTAAGATAACACCGTAATTTGGGAACCAGCAGTTACCGTAATGGCTATGTCGCTGGACTCCCACGTAGTCAACCGCGGTTCGTGTCCCGGACCCAGTGGCTTAAAACTCACGCCAGGCGCATGTGCGTGCGTGCCCAAGATCCCGAGAGGAGAATGGAGGAGAAGGGATTGCGGTGTGACCATCCCCCCTGGGGGGTGATTTCTCGCTTTCTGTCTCTATGTCTCTCTCTCTCTGTCTGGTGAGCGCACGCGCCCTATAGTGAAAATCTCTCCAAAAAAAAAAAAAAAAGATAACACCCTAATTTAATGTCCTGAGTCAATCATTCTTGTATGTTAAGCCAATATTTTTAGAGTTCTAGAGCCACTTTTAGTGTCTCAATGCTCTTAGTCATTTTGATGAGAAACAGTAGGAAAGAATCAGGTGGGAAGAGAAATGGGCAGATGCGGGGGAGGGGATTCAGACTGGGGCACTGGGAACTTGAAGAATAGAATTAGTTAACCAAAGAAGGCACAAACTACATTAAGGATTCATGCCACCACTTAACAAGGCTGCCTTGATATTTCAGTAACTGAATACCTTGGGCTGGATCCCAAGATGGACACACTTTAAAGTTAATTCATCTTTCTAGCAAGCGGTGTTACAATGAGGTTCCTGTTATACATTTTCACTTCTCTAGTCTCTTTGTTCAGTATTCACGGATATCTGATTCCTCTGTACCAGAAAAACTTTCAGAGTAATAGAAACTTATCTCTGACATGCAGAAAGGGATAAAAGTTTGGGCATTTTGTAAAGGGAATCTATAGTTTCCTTGGAGTTTGTTATACATAGGGCAGTAAAAGGAAAAAGTTTTATTCTGCAATCCTATTGTTCGCCACAGAAAGCCATACTCAACTTTCCAGTACCAAACATATCTCATCAGAATTCTTAACTCACACTGCTCTTATGTTACCATGAATAAATGGGATACTGATCTACCTCCAGGTGGTTATTGTGCAG